TGAGAAGGGCTGAGAGCATTTGGTTTGTTCAGCCTGAAGAAGACTTGGAAGTAACCTCATTGCAGCTTTCCAGTACCTGAAGGGAGCCTGCAAGAAAGGTGTAGAGAGACTTTTTACAAGGACAGGTGGTGACAGGATAAGGGAGAATGGAGGTTTAGATCAGATACTAGGAAGAAATTCTTTCTTGTGAGGGTAGTGAGGCATTAGAACAGGTTGCCCACAGTAGCTATCAATGTCCCATCCGTGGAAGTGTTTCAGGTGAGTTTGGATGGAACTCGGAACAACCTGGTCTAGTGAAAGGTGGTCCTGCTCATGTCAGGAGTTCGAAGTAGATAATTTTTAAGGCTTATTTCAACCCAGGCCATTCTATAATTCTATGATAAAAGTCTACCCATTGCATTTTAGCAAAGTAATGCTGCTTCACACTGTGTTTTTGGCATGTTACAGAGAACTTAATTCTTCATGAGGAATGTGATAAGTGGACGCAACTTCTAAACCAACAAAATAGGTGATTCTAGAAAAAAAATCATCCAGTCATATACAGGATATTATACAAGGGATTAATAGTTGTGAAAAAATTGTAAATCCACATGGTCTAGCTTAGCCAGGAACATTTCCATGTTAAGAAAATATCTGTGCTCCTTTTAGAAATCCCAATGAGTTGTGCAGCCTTTTTACGTTTCCTACTTTGTTGCATATACATTCTTCTACTTAGCTTGCAACAGTTTTGCATTCATTGTTGCAGCAACTTTGCCTGCTGTCTGAGAGCTAGAGGCTGTTTGGCCTTTGCCATCTTGTTCAGTGACCTGTACATGTTAAATTTAACAACCATTACAAAGCATTGTTTTAATACATGATGTTTTACTCTAGCTGTGTAATGTATTTAACTCACAATCATGTGCTTGACAGCTCTGTCAATGATACTTACTTTGTCCAGTTTGTCTTCTGCAATAAATGGTATGTTAGCTGAGACAGGTAGGAGATAGTTTGCCTCTGGCGAAGTTCTCAGAACTGCTGTAACTACATGCTGTCTTCATACCTTGGAAAATCTTCATACTTTCAGAAACTTAGGTATAAACACAGAAAAAAAGTCAGTCAGTAGATGAAATTGTGAGGCTCAACACAGATCATTCTCAGCAGCTTTGCCAGAGACCTCCTGTGAAAAACTACTAAATTCTTCAAGATTCTGTTAGGTTCAAAGAGTACTTCTCTCATTACAGCTCTTACAGAAATTTTAGTAGTTTGAAATAAAATACTGTAATAGGACACTGCCCCTTGGGTAGGCTTCCTCTCCCACAAATCATAAAACATGTTCCTGGAATTGGCCTATTAGATTCTGAAATGTTTGTGAAGATTAAGCTACCAGGTCTGAATTTGATGGTGCTGTTCCAGTTTAACCTGTGATAGGTGAGGTGTGTACATGGCACTGCTTCTTAATCCAAACCCATGCAGTGGTTTTAACTGTGGGGTTTTGTGGATGTCTAGAGATATCTGTCACTCCCAACTTCACAAAGTCACACTGCACTTTCCATTAAGAGAAAATATAGCCTGCTGAAGAGACTTTACATCATGGGACACTCCATTTTCCTGGCTGACAGAAGGCAGAATGGTCTGTGTGTTAGTAATGTTAACTGCTGCAGCAGTTTGCTGCAATGCTTATGAGTTGGAGCCCTATATCCCTTGTCATACACTCTTTAATACTCAAGTGGAATATAATGTATGTGTGAGACTGTTATCACAATCAAAACATTGTGTTCTGGTCCACCTGATTTTTTTATTATTATTATTTTTTCTTTTTAAAAGACTTTTTCAGTCTGAAAGCCTCTTGTCTCAAATGTAGATGTATCTAGTCTCATGGTCTTCAATTATTTTCCTAAAATAGAGACTAATCAGAATTATATTTTAATGAAAAACTATTAGCAGGGCTATAAACTTTATTTTTAATGCTTTTTGTAACTAAAGGAGCAGAATTTGATACTACTTTTGAAAAGTGTTAAATTAACCCATTTCTCATAAGAAGATACTCAGAGGAGTTAGAAGCCTGTTACAGAATTTCAGTGGTTTTCAAGTATTTTTGTTATCAATTGTCACAAAACAGGAATTGTTTTCCTCCTTTCACTTCCTCTAGAGTGTATAAAACACATGCTGTTAACCAGTCATTCAGAATTTCTAAAAATTTACAACTTACTGAAAATACCTGTGGCTTTTCTGCAAAATTAATGAGGACCTTTTTCCCCTACAAAATTTGTATAGAATGACTTGCTCAGAGCAATAACAAAATAGAGCAAAACAACTGTCAGGTTTATCCCTGAAGCAGAGAGTGGGAATTTGGCAAAAAGTTGTCATCATTTGTTACCTGCCTAGTTGTAACTATTGTCTTAAATGACATTAAGAGTACTTGAAGAGTATTAATATTAGACAATGAGGAGAAAGATGCGACTAAATCTTAACATAGTAGTACCTGGAAGAAAGTAGATAAGTTTAATACCTAAGTGTTCATTTGTTTGGGATAAAAGATGAAAGTATCGAGGAAAATAAGCCATCGTGCAACTGTGTATTTGTACCTAAGAGATGTTTGTCTAACAGGGGTTTAACACTAGTGCACTTGCTAATTTCAGTATATGTAAAGGGATGCATTTAAATGGGTCATCTCTGATTAGAAGCTTTTGAAAGCAGAGGGATTCCACTCCAGGAAGTGGAATAGGGAAGCCTATGAGCTAGGTAAACATACTGTCCTTAGTTGCAGGGAGCTTGATATTAATATTCTGGGTGATAAAACTAGGAAAATATGTTGTTGTTATTATTCTATTGTCCATAATGTTTATAATTTTTTTAATTGTTTCCTGTATTATTTATTGGCCCATTGTTTTTACTTCCTATTTAGTGGGGTAAATGGATTTTTCTAAGTGTGTCAGGGGTACAATCCTCTGCCTCATTATTTCCTTCATGCATTCTAATATGTGCTAACAATAACATTAAAGACAATGGCTGTGCACCTTTTGCCCCTGACTGCCATCTGCCTTTTCACCAGGCCCAGTATTGAGAACAAATTATTAGAAAAGCAGTCTGTCAGTGTCAGTATTCCTGGGTATAAGAGTACGTTGACATTTAGGTTCATGAATGTTAGTATGTGTGGCGTACAGACTGGTAAGCAGCACATATACATAATTGTATTAAACTTTCTCTGGGTCTTGCAAAAAACACAGAGGACCTGCATTCTGCTGGTGGACTGTTGAACCTCTGCTAAGACTGGATGCATTAAGAATAATTAACAAGGAAGGAAAGAAATTTGTGTGTGGCTCGATGCAAGCAGACTGAGCAGAGTAATAAGACAACTATCCCCCCAATGACCAAATAAAGTGACATTTTAAAATTAACTGGAAACCAGTTCTGGAATCCTGTCTAAGAAAACCCTAGAGACAAGGAAACTAATCAGTTATAAAAAAATAAGCTAATATAGCCCTAGATGTAAGAGAGATAATGACCAAAAAACTCCCAAGCTAACAACAGTTTAGTTGGAGATGCAACTCCTTGTGTAAGGACTTGTTCAGTCCTTGTGAAAGGACTGAAACAGGTATGAAACACATGGAAATGTCTTGCAAAGCATTCATTATCCTGCACCACTGTAAACAAACCAAGCTATTTTTTTGTCATTAGAAAATTATTGAGGGCATTACTGTTAATTACTTAATTGGAATTTACTACCGTAAATTGTGGAAGAGGTGATAAAGGTTCTTGCAACAGGAAAATTGTTTTGAAGTAATGGTGAGAGTTATGTCTCTTTCCTCTTTCAACAATTTTCCCACATCACTCCCACTACAGTCAGCCGTTGCCCTGCCTGTTCAGGAGGACTTGCAAGAGACTAAGCCTGCTACTTCTGTCATGGCATAGGACAACCAGGAGAAGAAAAAAACTTGGTAATTTTTAATTCTGTTAATTCTGTTAATTCTGTTTGCTTCTGCTGCTGCCTTGCGTCCTTCCAACTCTTTCCTCAGAAGCCAAGGTTATGCAAGTATGAAGTAAAACCTACTCTTCAGGTTGTATAGATTGCTGAAACAACTTATTATTGCTGTCTTACCCAAATACAGCAGGTAGTCTGCTCTTCTAAGATGCTTCCTACTTTGCCTGGGCCGAAAGCTATTTTTTTTTTTTTTTCAATTGTGAGACCCTGTGAAGGCTGCATTTTAGAACCTAGGAAAGAGCTATGTTCAGAGCAATCTAAATAGATATTGCACAGGCATGTCTGTTTCTGAAGCCACAGCACAGAGGGAGGACTTTCCAGAAGAACCCCTGAGAGAAAAGGTGTGGCTCAAATCCTTGCACAGGGCAGATCCAAACTTGAAGGTTATCCCTAAATGCACTAGCAGCATGCTAAATTCAGAAACCATCCCAAAAGCTAAATAGAAATTGTCCACTTAGGAACTGATTGGCTAGTTGGACAGTCTATCTAGTCTTGTTGCCTAGGAAATTGATCTTCAAAACCTGTGTCTGTCACAACACAAAATTTTTGAATAAAGGAGTTGGACCATATGCATGTGTAAGGGAAATAGCAGAAAGTTGCCATTCCAGCCCAGTTATCAGAAATCTGTGGACTGCTGAAGACTAACCCAAATACATGGGAGACTGTGGGTTTCACTATTACATAGTCAACATCCACAGAGAATAACATTGATAGGATATGAAACTGTATTACTCTGGCAAATCTAGAGATGAGGCTCTGTTATCAGCATCATTGATGCATCCATTGCTATTCCTTGCTTCCTGTACATCACCCATTAAACATGCAAAATTTTGGCCACTTTGAAGAATGAAGGATAACCCCAAAAATACTGCTCTTTCTACATACCCATTCTCTTTTCTATAACTAGTTCCTGTGTTAGAGTGGATGGGGATTTTTTATTTGTTTTATGGGGGTTTTGTCCCTGGTTTTGTGTATTTGTTTTTTGTAAATCTGCCTTTAAATATACATGAAACCTGATTATTTGTATCTGTGTTTCTAGCTGGAATGTACAGGCTGTCTAGAAGAAAAATGGCTTTTTTCTTACCTGAGAGAAGAGCTGAGGAAGCACAAGAGAAGGTAAGAATAAGAGAAGTCATAATGGGAATAAGAAACAAACCCAGTTAAAACTAATTTATGGGAAAAATTCAGGCCAAGGAGTGTGAAATGGAGGTTCCTGGCAGTTAATTCCTCATGGCAGCTGCAGGTTTTTCTGGTAGCTGGCATATAACTTCAAAACTAACTTCTATGCTTTGCTTCATCTGATAGGTGTACTTGGAACACCCTGTATAAGCAACTTCACACAGCAGCAATTATGATTGTAGTTGGTTAGAGGATGAGCTTAGGGATAAAGAAGACTTAGTAGAGACTGTAAACAAGTAACATTTTTATCATGTTATCATGGTTCATGTATGCTATCATTTTTTTATTATGGTTAAGTGAGTGCTATACCAGTTTAAAATACTAGTGTGTTAATGCTGCTGCAATTGTGGAGAGACTGAATTGGGGGTAAAGGCAATCCACCTCCAGAGATATCAAATCTCAGTTATTATGAAAATGCTTTTTTCCAGGCATAGCCTATTCATTTCAGGTATTATATTGTTGTGTACTTTTATTCTTGTAACAGGCTGGCTATTAGTATACACAGGTGAGTAGAAAATTTGTTGTTAAAGGGACTGTGATTGTGGTAGTTACCACAAGCTGTGCAACAGACCATACAACCTGCACATAGGTTTAGGAATGGAGGTCTGCAGTTATGCTGAAGTTTTTATTTAATGGCCAGGCTTTGCCAGAGGCCCTCTGGAAAATCAAAGCACTGGTTTAAAGAATTGGCAAAGATCTTAGTGCAGATGGGACTTGAAATGTCATAGATGGAACCTTTCCTACTTTGTTTCTGAAAGTACACATGTGTGATCTGGGTTTGTCCCTCTTTGGAAATTCTTTTATTTTTAACTCAGATAACAGCAAGTGAATTGATGCCAAGACATTATGGAACTGTGCTGCACATAGCTACCATATTTTCTTGTCCTGACAAATATTGCTTTCACTTTTTTTTTTTTTTTGGTACCTTGACTTAAAGAAAGCAGCATTATTTTGCATTGGAAGCTAAACTGAGCGGACTGTATTGATACTCTGGTTCATATCCCTTACACTGGCTTTCTTATTATGTACTCCTGGCACATGGAGTTGCGTTAACACATGATGGTAGAATTTCTACCCAATCCCGCCATGGTAGTGCATTTTCTCCCCCAGTATTTCCTTACGTCTGCAATTGTGCTGTGGAGAATAATATTCTTATGCTGAAAATGTAATTTGACCAAACATCTAAACTCTTGCAAGTTAGATAATCCCCACTTTGAAAGCACAAAGACAGCATGCAGTTTCCCTGAAAGAAGGAATAAATTAGTGGCAGATATATGGACAGCACATAGTCATCAACTCTTTATCCAATGATCTAGGTGGCAGAAATGTTAAATCTGTGTTGATAGAATGAATTCCCTCTTTCAGCCTGGTAATTTGCATTAATTACTTGATGGAAAGAAAGATATTTTGAAGCCATTCTGTAAAAGAACCATCAACAAGAATTTTGACAGGTAGGTTAAATACTTGTCATTTAAAATTTGTTTTCTCTTTAGTAAAAATTATTTAGAAAACAAGCCATCCAAGAATAGATAGTGAAAATAAATAGTAACTTATCTTACCCTTGAAACAATTTGCTGAGTAACTTCATGAGGTGGAAGTGTTTGTAGGAGGATGTACTTTGAGCAGGGCTTTGCAAACATATTCAAATCACTGTGCACATGGCAGCTTTGTTTGCTCCTAGAATCTACACTAGATGGGTTTTGTATTACAAATCTTATGCAACAGTTACATTATTGTGCAATTAATATCTTTAAAGGTTTGCTAAAATACTTTGCTGTTTTCTTTCTAATACGATAGAATTTCTGCAATCCATCCAATCATAGATTTTTGCAATACAAAGTTTTTTTGGTGCCATCTCTAAAAAACAAGTTACAAGTGTGCTGCAGTATTGGGCCTTGCTGGTTTGCCATGTAGCTGGATGCTGGCTGGATATCTGTGACTGTTCAGTTCCAAAGGAGCCATTTTGTGGTTGTGGGGTTTGGGTTGGGTTTTTTTTGCAATATGATTCACAATCCACTTTCTTCAAGATTCACCACCCACAACTACTTTTTGGCCAAATTTAAGACTGAAAAGAGGGGACCCAGTAGTGACTGAGTCACTTCTGTTGTGTGCCAACAAGTTGCTCGTTTGCTGATTAGCCACCTGCTTTTGATCTGGATTATATCCAGACCTGCTTCAGCTGGCCAGAGAATGGGAATGTCAGCTGTAGTCAAGGATACCTGCAAAGCACTGAGAGCTGCAGTAAAGCATCTTTGAAGAGAAGAACAGGGAAAGGCAAATTAAAGGGAAGGCAAAGGAAAAATAGAGGCAAGGAGCCAATTTCTGATCTCAGCATCACTGATGTCACCAATACAAATTTGGTCCACAGAGTGCTGAGCAAATGAGAATAGAAACAGGTCAGAGGGAAAGGTGACAGACTAGCACAGGTGACAGCAAGGGGAAAATTAATAATGTCTCAAGTGTAATCCTAATGGGTCCTCTGCTTTAACACTTGAAATGTCTCTTAGTCATCCAAGAGCATAAAATTAGTAAAATCTTTCCAACAGTCTGTCTGTCTTTCATAGCAGCTCCAGACAGGGATTTTTACTGGTGGTGCAATCATCTGCAATGCTTTTCAGATCTAATGAAGAGGAAAGGTTTAAATCTCCTTATGTTTCAAGTGAAATCCTATACTAACAAACATCCTTAGACTTAAGGTCCTCTTTCTTAGTGTCCTACACATTTCCAAGGTTGCTTAATTTGTTGGTGAATACCAACAAGCTTCAACTGTGCTTTACAACATGTTTTTGTAAACAAATTGCAATAAACACACAAAAAATTACCTTCCTGAAATATTTTCTTTTGAAAATGGTCATGAAACTCTTTTGGTGAATCAAAAAAGATGAAAATAAATGTTAAATTTGTTGTAAGGATTTTTGTAGTTGTTTTACTAGACTATTTATTCTGAAAGTAGTTTTTCTGCTTCTAAAATAAGGAACAAAAAGTATACATGAAGAATCCCTCATCTGCTTTCAAGTATTCTTCAATCTAAAAAAATTGTGTTTAATTAATTATTTATTTATAGTGAGTCCATTCTAAATTCTTTCATTTTTTGAACATTTGCCCCTGGAAACTTGCTAGGGGTTTTTATTTGTTTGTTTTTCTTTGTTTGTTTTGTTGGTTGTTTGTTTCTTGTTTGGTTGTTTTTGTGGTTGTTTTGTTTGGTTGTGGGGTTTTTTTTTGGTTTGGTGGTGGTTACTTTTTGGGGTTTTTTTTGTTTGTTTTTGGGTTTTTGTTTCGTGGGTATTTTTTTGTTTGGTTCTTTTTTGGGGTTTTTTAGGATTTTTTTGGTAGATTAACCAGCAATCATAAAACTAAGGCAAATAGCCAATTTCATGTGTCTAGGGACCACAGGGGTTAATATGATTCAGTATGATGATATACATTGTAGTTGCTGCCTTTCACCAAATAGAAATAAGGCTTTGGAATTCTTTGTCCACTTGAATAGCTATAAGATTTTTGGAAGTGTTTGAGAAGTCTCACTGAGCTGGGGGAAAGGAGGCAATGTCTCATATTCCTACTTGCAGATACTTGGAGGCCTGATCTAGCAATACGGTGTGCTGTGTTGATTTTCTGACTTTTGCATTAGAAAGTATGGGGGTTTTTTTGCTGATTTTCTTTTGTAAGTGTGAATTTATAGGAGATTGACTTAAAGCTGACTAACTTTCTCATGTCTGAGAAATCACATTTTTAAAAAGGAAAAGAAAGCAAAGAAAACTCTCCTTCCAGTTAGTTAGAGTCTTAGACATAACTAAGATAGATACTGTATATTTAAACAGAATAGAAATACCCTTGCCCCTAGGAAAAGAACTGTCATCCAAGGTCAACTGTTTAGATTAATAAGATATTTGAAATTCTCATTTTCAGATATTTCTGCTGCAGTTTGATTTCTTACATTGTGTAATACTCCAGCCACCCAGATTTGCAAGTGGAAGCAGTCTTCCAGCCTCAGACAAGCCCCTGTTGAGCTGCTGCTCACACAGGACTGTCCTTGTATTTCAGCAGCCTTGCCTGCTGAATTTAACACTCAAGATGTTTACAGATTTCCAGGTTGAAACCTAAACAGAGCAGGTGTGTGATTAGCTAATTCACACAGCCAGCTGAGCTTTTTAAAAATTAATTTAAATATAAAAAATATTACATACAGATCCCAGTTTTTAATACTGCTGGATGAGGTCATTCTCCTAATTTGGAAGAAGCTTCAGTAGGAATAGATATCTATTAAGGGAGTCAACAGGATTGTATGATACTCTGTAATGAAAGTCAAATCCTCTTATTCAGCAAATATTTATGTTTAAGATTAGGAAATATCTGTATGTTTTTGCAGCTCAGTTCCAAAACTGAAGAAATTTCAGAATATGAGATGTCTTGCTGTAGTAAGTTTATAAAATACCTTAATTATTTTAAAATATTTTAAGTATTATAAAGTACCTATTATTTTGGAAAAATAAATATAATTGTTTTTCATTCTTATACTTGCATTTCTTGTAGAAATTAATTTTGTTTCCCTTAGCAGCAGCTGGAGCTGAGTTATGCTCCTATCTTCCTAGTGAGATTTTTCTAAGTACAGTCATTAGGGAGAGAAATTTGCATTAAGCTGCTAGTATAAAATTCAGTATGTTGTAAATACAGCCAGTCCACTTCTTACCATGGCAGCTTCCTTATTGGTCCACTGATAAATGATCTCCCTACAGTGATCCTTCCAGAAGAGTGATCTGCTCTTTGTTGTATGCCTACCAGGAAATGTGAGTGAAACCCAGGATGTGATTGTAAAAGTTTCTTCCCTTCAAGCTTGATTGGCTTTTCTTTTTAATGTCTTAAACAAAAAGTCTGCTTTTTGTTTAAGATAGCCTTCTCCATTTGGCTGGGAGAAGGAGTCATGAGATGATCATGTGCAGCACATCTCCGTGCAGCACATCTCCGTGCTTCCCTCTCAGCAGTTCCTCCTCTCCTTTCTGGCAGCTGCTAGATTGGAGGTGAACTCTGTCCTGCACTGGGTTGGTCCAAACCACATTTCACTTCAGCTGTTTCCAAATAAAAATAATCATCTTTCAAAGCTCAGGCTGCAGTAAATTGCCAACATTTGTTAACACAAAGCATGCTTGTGAAGATGTGTATTGATGACATAGGACCGTAATTCTCAAATGGTCTGATTTCAGGCAAGTGTTTTCAGAAAGATCCCTCAGCCTCTTATTAACATCCCTCTTATTTGTCACTCACTGAGAAGATCCCCCTGCTGCATTAATTGCATCCAGGAATAAAGAGAACATATTAGGAACTCTTAGGAAATAAGATGACACTTTGACATGACCATGACTAGGGTCTGTGACTGACATTGTAGTGGTGGGGTCGCTGTAGTCTCTTGCAGAGTGATTTGTCACACGTTACAGAATACATGCAGAAAAGTTCCTTGAATCATATGTAGTAAAAAGATCCTGAAATCTGTAATAAAAATGTTTCTCTGAATTCTGCAGTGCAGAGTGATATCAGATGAATGTAAAGTATATGCATCAGGAATGCATAAAAAAAAAATCTGTTTTTCTCTAAGGATAAAAGTATATTTGACCACTTAGAAAAAATGAAATTTAACACCATCTGAACAAATACTTTTCTGCCAGCAATGCCTGCTGTTCCCTAAAATGATAGTCTAGTTGCTCATAGGATTTTCCTTTCATTTGTTGCATGTACAGTCTCGCAATTTCTCTAAGAGTAAAGAAAGTGATACTTTAGCCTCATGTTTCTGGATCATAGGAGTGACAGAGAAGACAAGATCCTCTTTCTAAGCAAGAACATTCCATTTTGTACCTTACAGACCGCAGACAACGCACATGAAATTGCTTGGGAAGTTCTCATGATTTCTTTGGAAAGTTATCAAAGAGCTGATTCATTCTTATTCTTTCTTAAATCAGGTTAATGTAAAAAGCAGTTTCTATATAGCTTAATTCAAGGCACAGTATTTTTTAAGTTGCCTAGATGCTTTACAATCTCATGTAACATAATTTAGGAATTTATGTCAGTCTTGACATGATGTCAGTAACAATATTAGCACGAAAATTAATTTTAAATGTTTTTATTCTATCCTGCGTGTTCAAATTATTTGATTTTTTGATAATTTTTCAATCCGGTCACTTAGTCATTCCTGGACAATTGTCCTCTTGGGTTGGTTGATGGTGTCAGGGAGCAGAATGGTCTGCATGTTATCCAGGAGGAGGCAGTCAGAGAGCTGCTAAGATACTTGGATATTCATAAATCTACAAAACCCCCCTGCAGCACTACAGGCTGGGGATGGTGTGGCTGGACAGTGCCCAGGCAGAAAGGGAGCTGGGGATGCTGGTGACAGCCGGCTGGACATGAGCCAGCAGTGTGCCCTGGTGGCCAAGAAGGCCAATGGCTCCTGGCCTGGATCAGGAAT